AATCTACTAATGACATTTTCTCACTTTACTTAAAAGGACTCTTGAATTCAGCCATCTCATATGCTATGCATCCTAATGACCATATGTCTGATTTCATATCATATCCTTCTCCATGGAGGAGCTCTTCTTTTTAATTGAACATTTACCTCTGGCGACATATATAAGGGTGTTCCTACTTTAGAATATGCTTCTATTGTTTCTGATGAAAATATTCTGCCCAATCCCAAATCTCCAACTTTCAAGGTTCCATCTCCTCCAATGAAAATATTAGCAGGTTTTAAATCACGATGCATTATTCTTTTTTCATGCATATGTGATAAAGCACTTGCTATTTGTAATATATAATTCCACATTTAAACTTCTTCAAATGGAGTATCATCTGCTTAAGCATTTTTTATAAGCTTTTTTAAGTCCCCTTTTTCTGCCCATTCAGTGGCAATAATCAATTCATTATTATACAGAAATGAATCCAAATATTTTATTATATTAGGATGATCTAAAGGTTACATCAGTTTTACTTCCTTTAAACATTTCTCTCTATGTTTAGGGTCCATCATATCAAATATCTTAAGTTATTTCTAAACTATTATTACTTTAATCTTCTTTAGAGCAATAACATTGCCTTCCTAATTCACAGCCTTATAGACAGTTGAGAATTTGCCCTCGCCTATTGCTTTTTATACTCTATAACCATTTATTTCTTAATCTATGAATTATGACATTATCTACTAATATAATTAGCCTAATAATATATTATTATTTATAAATATTGAGTAAAATGTCTATGCGAATTGTTTAATCTACAAAGAAAATACTAGATATGTCACATCCTAGTTAGACTATGCTAAATGGCCAAAGACCTAGTATGTCTTTAATGCCAAAAGAAAAAGTTATAATAGGATTGAATTCTAAATAAGAATTGAATTCTAAATAAGAGAAAAAAACTAATAAAATTTTTATCAAATTAGAAGAACATATCAACAATTCTATTGTTGAATAAAAAGTTGAATAAAACAATCCTATTGTTGAATAAAATTATCCCATATAATGTCCAATAATATAAAATCCTAAAGAGGATCAATAAAAAAATAAAGAAACTAAAATTTCAATGGAAATTACTCATACTCATTTTGAACTTAAGGTACCTAAAATTATTGTACCAAAATCATTAGAGATTCCAAAAACATTAGAGATTCCAAAAATCTTATTACCTTCTTAAATAAAAATTGAATAAGAAGATAAATCAATGACTTATAATTAAACAAATTTACTTAAGTAATAATTGATTTAGATTAAAAAATTTAATGAACCTATTCAATTACTATTATAAGATAATGATAAAAGAAAAAAGTATTACTCGAGAGCATAAAGAGAAAAGGAAGATGTAATTCATTGGGGTCAAAGGAAATTACTTATTAGTGAGATTTGGTTTTTGACAAAGTATGGTTGTTTATCTAGGAATATTATATATGCAGGAGCAGCTCCAGGATTTCACATATCATTGTTATCCGATTTATTTTAAAATCACAAATTTTATTTATTTGATCCAAATGACTTTTAAGTTAAATAGGGACCAAAGATTACTATTTACTAACGTTGTTTTACAAACGAAGAAGCCTAAAAATTTAAGGAATTATTTTAGGTATGAATTAATTAACAAGAATGATTATCTATTCATTTCAGACATTCGAACTGCCAATTTTAAAAGTATGACCCCTCTAGAAAATGAGTAAGCAGTACTAAGAGACAATCAATTATAAATGGAATGGGTTAAAATTCTCAAACCTTAAAAAGTATCATAATCTTATATTCATTAAGGCTATGTTGAAATTTCGTTGTGCTTACCCTACTGAAATCAATGAACCAACTGAATTCTTTGAAGGTGAAATCTATATACAAGCTTGGGCACCAGCATCATCCACAGAAACAAGATTGATACCTTATAACTATGTCAATACAATATTCTATGATAATGTTAAATATGAAGAGCAAATGTTCTATCATAATGATGTTGTTAGAAAAAAATAGAAAGGTTCATTAAGTTGGGATGATAGAGCAGAAACTGAAGTGTTAATTGAGTATTTACGTAATTCAGGAATCAATGAAAACCAAATAATTAAATAAGTAAATATAATAAAAGATTAAATTACAAAAAAATTGAATTATTAATGAATCATATGAATAAATTATTTTATTAAGATATATCAAATTATTATATTATTATTAAGTTAAAAAATGTTTACTAATTAAATTTTAAATTTAGAAACAAATTAATTAATCAAGATTATTTAGTTACAAATATAGCTCAGAATAACAATTTAATTACAAGATTATTTAAGATTATAAAATAAATCAGAGGAAAAATAGATCAATAAATAAAGATTTAGGATTTAGTAATTTTATTTATAATTAATATAATTATCTTTCAATAGTTGAAAATACTATTAACATTTCAATTAAGTTAATTCAAATTTTTGAATAAAATAATGTTGGTCATACAATACTTAATCAAATATTGAATTAGATTTAGATACATAAAACAATTTAAGATTTGACTGAATAATTAGGAGTACTACTATTTTAAAATCAATTATTATAAATTAAATTAATTTATATAATGAAAAACTTTGCAACTAACCCTAAAAATATTGGTGGAATGAAGATGCTTAATGATAATATGTTTTTACATCATAAAGCTCTTATTGATGCTAAACCAGCTATCAAAATTAAACCACCTAGACCTGTAAATAATTATTTAATCTTAAGCATGTAAACAATATTAAAAATGTGAATCCTTAAAAACCTAAAGAAATTGATCTTCCAATGTATAAGAATAAAAAAGAATTTGATCAAGTAATGAAGACATTTCAAACTGTAATTGGAATGAAGAAAGGTAAGAAAAATTAATCAATTTAGGGAGAATTGATTCAAATGCTCCTATTACAATGGAATTTAGAAGGAACATCTCAGGTAATGCTACAAAAAAAGAAAAATTTGATAGAGATTAACATATATTAAATTTACAATCTCAATATAGAAGGATAGCAAGTGCTGGAAGTATGTAAGAAAGAAAAAAAAATTCAAATGATCCAATAGCTCATCCTCCTAGGTTCTTTAGAAGAGAAGGAGAAACTATGGCAAATATTAAAATTGATAAATTGTTACATCATTTTGTATATGATAATCTTAATTACATAATAGACTAAGGAATAACGTATGCTTGAAGAAACTCCTAATAGTGAACTATCATAAAAGATAGAAGCATTAAATAAAAAGAAGGTTCAACTTTCAAAACCAAAATAACCAAGAGCATAATCAGCTAAACTTCCATCTTAAAAATCTGAACCTTCAAGTAGAATGAAAACTAGAAATGCTGATGATATTACTACTGAAGTAAAGGAAATACCTAAAGTTTCTTCTAATTCTGAAGAGGATCTAGAATAATTAAGATAAATGTTAATAAGTAAAAATCTATTTCTATTTTTTTTAGGAATAATATTTCATCATAAAATTTTCAAAACAGCAGATTTAGAAACTTTATTTGCTCGAGTTTTAAATTAAAATCCTTAGATTGATTTGATAAGAGCAGAAATACTCTTTGAAATGATTAGAGAATAACTAAAATCTGATTGAAGATTTTATATATATATATAATATAAATTCACAATCTAGAATTAAAATATTGAATATTTTTAGGTTATTATCTAAAATTACTATAGTTAGATTATTCAATTTTAAATTGTTAATTATTTTAGACATAACTAGAGACATTTCCTTGACTTACAGTTAATTGTGAATAATTTTAAGGCATTTCAAATTCCTGTAATAAATCATCCTTTACACGAAATTAATTTGCATATTCATATGGACTTTAATATTTTTTAGATTTAACTTAAACTTTTTGTTAAATCAATTTACTTTTCTCATTAGCAAAATATCTATTTGATGATAATTTAGATAATTCTTATGGTTATTAGATTTAAATCTTTTAATCTTAAGAATATTCAACTTCTTTTCTAAATGTCTAAGTTTACATTTTATGATCTTCAGGTTTAAATACAAAATCATCTTTATCAACAATTTTATCAATTCCAATTAATTGATCTAATTGTTGATTTTGATTGAGTACATAATCATCAAATCCATCTTTTTATTATTAAAATTCCAACATTAATTCTCTACTAGGAAACATTGCATCACTAAAATCATCCCTTTAAATGACTTATCTATCATTTCTAATAAATCTATTTAAAAACATTAAATAATCTAATTAACTTAATGATTATATTTCAAATTTATTAAGTAATTGATCCAAAGATCTTTTATCAATAAATAATTGATTTCCTGCAATAATTTTAAATATAGTATTAAATTTCCATTTAACTTATTAAGCTATACCCATTTTCTCTATTTCTATAACTTTTAAGTAATCTATTTCTAAATAAATCAATTTGGCTACAAAATCCTCTAAATAGAATGATAATTTATCTAAAATAAAAAATGAAAAATCTAACATTCTGTTATTTAGAGTTTTCTCATAATAAGTTTCATGGCTTAATCCTTATTATATTTTGGAACAATAAATTCAAGAAATTTTTAATGACTTAATTTATCATTTCCTGAACTGTAAATAGAGATCCATAAATCACAAAATTTGATTGATAAACTATATCCATTCTTGCACATAAATCTAAAGATATCAGATGCAGTCAAATATCCTTTAGAATTGGTGTCAATAGTTCGAAAAGCTTCACTTACATCAAATCGAGTATTTTCAGCTAATGTTACTTTAATATCCTCAGCCTACATTAGACAAATTGTAAAACATCTTTTTCAGTATTCAATATAATTCTTAAGAAGATAATGAATTTTTGTTCATATATTTGATTTTAATCAGCTTCTGTGACTGTTGGGTTTAACATTAATTTAAATTACTTTAATATAGTAAATATGTAATTATAGACATATTATAAATATTTATAAATATATTCTTTATTAATTCAAACAATAAAGTCCTCTTCTTCATCATCTTCTTCTTTATAAAAGAAATCTTACTCAAATGAGTTAATTTAATTTTTTTATGGTTTCTTTTTGGATTAAAAATCATTTTATTACTTTGCTTTGATAAACATTTGATTAGTTTAAATAATAGATTATTACTATTCTTATGATTTTACATTTAATGACATACTTCTGCTTAAATTAATAGGATCAATATTAATAGATTAATTGTTTTAAACAATATTTTAATTAGAATTAATTTTGGAATTATCATAATATTATTCATTTAAGGTTATAATATTTTATTTTTAATTTTAAGGATAAAAAGATTTAGTTGTTGAAAGATTTTTAATAATTTAATCATGTTTATTGGATATATTGGATTTAATTAATTAAGAAGCATATTGATATTAATTAATTTTAGATTATTTCAAATCTTTTTAAGAAGTATAACAGTTTTATTATTTAAATGCTAACTTAACTTTGTTATGATGTAAATTAGGTACAAATTTTGAATGTGATTATGTAAATGTTGATTTAGAAATTTAACAATTTGTATTATCATTAAGATTATCTATTTTTTTAATTGTTTTTTATTGATTAAAGGATTTTTGGGATTGTATTTTGATTATTTAACTATTTTGAAGTTTGAATAGATTAGCTAATTAATCAAATGCAGGACGATAATCATAATCTGTTTAAAGTAAGATTTTAAGAAAATGAATATTGTCTTCACTAATATTATTCTATCTACAATTGTATTCAATATGATAATTAATTTATTGTTAATTTAATTTAATAAGATAACTAGGATCTTAGGTTCCAGTTGTAAGACAATAAAGTAATGAACCAAACATCCAAGTTTTCATCAATTAATCTTATTTATAATTATTATTGTTGTATCGTTATTAGTATTTAATTTAGAAAAGAGAATATCTTAAACCATAATCAATAGTGTAAATAATCTTTTAATTAATGTAAAGAAAGTCAGGATTAAAATCATAGAATCCTAAAATATCTAAGGAATAGAGATCATACAATTATTTCAAATATTCATTAAATTGATCATTTGTAATTTTGATAGGCATTTTAATCCAAGTATTACTATTCTAATAAGAAATGAGTAGATTGTTATCATCCTCAATAGCATCTTTTATGTAATAGTATGATTTTATTTTCTTAGATATATTTTCATACATTATAGAATCTAATTCAGATTTAGGAAAGATATTAATGTAATAGGATTATTTAGTTTCATCAAATCCTCTATATAATAATTAGTAAGAGAAGTCTAAAGAGATAGGTAATTCAATTTAATAATTAGCAATTTACATAAATTAATAATTATGATTTTTATTTTACTTATACAAATTACTTAGTCTTTGAGCATCTATTAATTTTTGAATCTCACTCCATTTTAAATTCAAGAATTAAAAATAGATACACTTTAAGAGTACTTTATGTCAGGATCAATATCAGGATATGTGACAATGAATGAATATACTGATTTAATTGAAAAGTTGGCAAATTCATTTCCTAAATAAGTAACATTATAATCCTTTGGTAATACTTATTAAGGAACCAAAATAAAGACAATTAAAATATCATCAACTAAATCTCCCAAATATTAAATAACTATTATTGGTATGTTACGTGGCAGTACTGATTTAATATCAGTAAATTATCTCCTATATCAATTATACTATATCACTATACAACTATCTAATAAGAATCCATTTATGATGACTTTACTTTAAGACAAGTAATTATGGATTACTCCATTAATAAATGCAGATGGACTTCAATATATAACAAGCTAATTTATTTAAACTCACAATATACCTTAAATATTTAAAAATAGAAATCCATCAAATTCTAATTAATGTTCATAAACTGAATAAGGTGTAGATCTTTCAAGGAATTTCTAATACAAATTTGGAATCAATGAAATTGGATCATCATCTAATTAATGTAGTCAAATCTATAGAGGAATAAATGCCTTTTCTGAATCTGAAACATTGGCAATAGATAATTTAGTATAATAAATAAGACCAAACATCTTAATTGTTATGGGTGGTGATTAAGATAAATTAGTTATTCCTGATTCTAATTCATCAACCTATTATGAATTACTCTATTAAGTTTCAAAAATATATTAATTTAATATGGGAGAATATGAAAAACTTTATTAAGTTGAAATTAATGGTGATTTATGTTAAAATTACATTTATTAAATCAATAAAGTATGTTTTACTATTAATATTGGATAATATGAATTAAATTAGACAATCCCAAATTTTTAGAATCTTTTAATTGATTTTTTTTAACATTATAGTCCTTCATTACAGTATATACTATTTATTATATATATAGAATATAATTGGGGGAGGTATTTGATTGTAAACATGGAAAAATGTTATGTAAAGAATTAGAATCCAATGAGAAAGGTTGTGTCATCATTATATCAGTATAAAATATAGGCTATAATCAATTTAATGATAATATAGTAATGGATATAATCTTGAATTAAGGAGGTGAAAAACTATATCAAATTGATTCTTATGTTATTGCTTAAAGTATCAAAAATATAAGTGATCCTAAATTATAGGATGGTATAAGGATTGATGAAATCTCTACTGATAGAGTTTATAGATATCAAATAGTTAATAATAGAAGATTAAATTAAAATCAAACAATTTATTATGTTTTCTTAATTACTTAATATGGATTCTCTTACAATTATATTAATACTGTTGAATCTATTAATTTAACATTTACTCTTCAAAATACTTTACTTAATTCATAAGTATTAAAAAAATTGACACCTTCAGATTTAGCTGCCAAAAAGTCTAATGAATAACTTCAATAAATATTTCCTAATCGACCAGAATCTTATGTTTTATTGATATGTTTTGCAGCTATTTCAATTATCTTCTTTTTCTCATGGATTATTAGAAAAATTTATATTTGGATTTATGATCCACATTAATTTATAGAAGAAAGTAAATCTAAAAGTGGAGGATCATCTGATGAAAAGAATTTAGATTAATATCATTCACATAATCTAATGGAAAGTAGATTAAATACATAAATTAAATTATCTTAAGTTGTTCCATTCTAATCAATAAGATAGAATGATTCACCTCCTTTAAGTAAAGTAACTAACCAATAAGGTTAATATGAAAGTAAAATAACTAATTAAAATTTATTATTACCACATCTAAGTCCTATTGAAATTGAAAATAGAGTACATAAAGCCTTAGAAATAGTTTAATCATAAGAAGATTTAGATAAATAAGAATAACAATTATAATAGAATTACTATAAAAATTCATAATAATAAGAAAATTTACATCAAATTGAAGAAGTACTTGTTAATACTCCAAATATTTAACATAATAATTAAAATGATGATTAATTAGTTAAATTTGAGGATTGATATATATATATATATTATTAATTAAATTTAATCATTCTTGTGATCAATTTTAATTCTCCTTAATATTTTTTAATATTTATGGATACAATTTGACATGAGCATCAACTGCCCATACATAATCTAAATGAGCATAATCATCTATAAATTCTACTTTCATATGTGTTTAATCCAACTTATTTAACATTTTACCCAAATCATCTGTATCTGTAATCACATCCTTTGTTCCCAAATAAAAGTATTTAGGAATTATAAAATTCTTCAAATTATCCACTGGATATGGAGGAGGATCTCTTTATCCATACAATACCATATTTTAACTAGTACCGTAATCAAAATATTATAATTATTTTGATCTAAAGAATTACATCCTAAAATTATATATATATATATATATGTATACCATTATACAATATTTTTAGATGCTGAACCTCCAGGTTCATGAGCAACCATATTACCAAAACGATTCAAATCGATCTTATTTTTTTAAGGAAAACCACACAATTAATTAGTAACTTCGAAAAAGAAGCTTCTAAATATTGAAGGTATCATATAACAAAGAGCACCTATTTTTATATTAAAACCATCATCAAATACAAAGAAATAAGGAATTCCCAAATAATATATCAATTCAAATATATATAACTTAATAGCCCATTACAAGAAAGTTGATCTCTAAAAATAGAATTAAAAAGGATTACCAAATTAGAAATGAACATAGCTGGACCAAGTCCAATAAAACATTTAAGATGATGTTAAAATTCAATGTTATTTGATAAATAAGCAAATGCTTAGGTAGTACCTTGGGAGTGTCCTATATATATTACTTTTGCTCTTTGTGTAACATTTTTAACATATAATACTATGGCCTTAAAGTCATATTTGGCTAAATCATCAAAGGAACAATCCCAATATTGTTGATTGTAGTCCACACTTTAAAATTTAGTATGTCCAATACTATATTTATTACCTCGGTTATTTGCAAGCCATACGTCATAGCCTTAATCAGCTAAAATATATGGCAAAGTGAGCTTTTTATCATTATTTATAAACCAAGACCATGAACTATCCAATAATCCATGTTACATAATGATTGGATTTGGATGTGGATGAGTAACATCTTTGTAGATTCTCCAAATTGTTAGAATGTAGCCATCTTCTGTAATTATTTTATGGCTTTCAAAATTGTAACCTTAATCTAGTATGATATCAGCTATAGATATGATATATTTAAATATTACTTGCTTATGTATATACTCCATAATATGGTTTATGTTTGTTGAGTATTTTACGAAGTTTATGGAAAAATGTTTAATTTCTTGATTCACATTCTTTGACAAATAATGATAACACATAATCTGTTAAATATATTCCTATATAAGCAGAATAGTAAGTAAATGATAATCCTACATTAGCAATTGGTTTAATAACCCAAATGAAAAAGTAAAATGTGATTGTTTGAATTATTTAAAAATTCATTCTTAAGAAGAATTATTATGATATAATCTTTTTTGATTTATAATTAATCAAATTTGCCATTCTTCTAATCCTGCAGCTCTCTTTTGACTATCCATGACTCCATTGACTAAAGTGCATGTTAACCAAGCAGTTAAGAACATTTTACCATAATAAGGGATAGCACCTGCATAAAATCCATGGATTCTTTCATAGAAGTAGATTTGCTTAAAGACATCTAAATAATTTTAGTAATTTAATCTAATATTTAAAAAGACTATAATTACCTATTTTTAGATGGATCTGGGAATGCCTTAAGAACTCTAGTTTGAACATTATCTAATGGTAAAGTGAAAACAGTTGCCCAAAATGAAGCCCAAGTTAATGCAAGAAAATGATTGAATCCAAAATCACCGAAAACCAACCAAATTTTTTCTTTCATATAATCATATGGTCCTGTTAATGATATGTTCAAAGCTGCTAATTTGACTACATGAGCAAATGCTCCTCTGAATAATGCACTGCTTCCTCCTAGTGAATTAATTGATTTTTTGTTACCTTCTTCAACTTAGATTCTATTAATGGCATCAAAAGCAGATTTGTAATTTCTTCTTATTGATTAAGGAAGACCACCATCAGCTATCATTCTGACTTATGCTAATTCAAATGGAGATGTAACAAAAGCAGCAAATGCTCCTACAGATCCAGAAAGAACAGCCTTTTCTCTGAGTGTCAAATCATTGAATGGTTTGACTGGTTTAACTTAATCGTATATTGCTTTATATCTAAAAGTTTAAATATTTGATACAAAAAGTTTCTAATAAAGAGATAGCCTAATCTACTGTATAATGCTGCGTCAAATCCATAATAAAAATGACTCAAACCTCCTCCAGTTTCATGAATCTCTCTGAATATTCTCCATGGATTCACTCCCAATTCATTTCTCAATTATCTCAAACCAATTCCTTCTGTTCTAACTTAGATTCTAGTTTTAACAAATTCTGATTGTAAATTATATAACTGTTACCCAATGGTTAAGTGAGGAATGTAGCAATTGCACCTACTGGCACTGAAAGACCAACTACTTCTGTAAGAGATGGCTCCCAATATCTCTTGTATGATCCAAGCATTTTATTTAATTAATTAAAGATATTTAAATTTGATATAAAACAAAATTTATCTTCATCACTTTTTATTATATTAGAATCACACACTCTCTCTTTTTAAATCTATATTGCCTTCTAAAACAATTAAATAACAATCAATATAAAAATTATTATTTTATCGTTTTTTTAATGAAAAACAGTGTAATTTGGTTGTGTACTATTGCTTTATTCTTTACAAATGCAATAAACATGTAAATTAACAAATCTATATAGTAGATAAGAGGAATAAGCACCCTTGTAACCTGAATAATAAAAACAAAAAGTTCAACATTTCAGATTAAATGAGAAGGTTGTAAATGTGAAAGACTCATAAGATTTCTACAAATTTGTTGCTTTGAATTAGAAGAAACTCTTTGATAATTAATTTATTTAGAAATCCTCTGCTTCTGAAAACCTTAGATTACATAATTTCAAAAACATCTAATATACAGCAGACCTAGGAATTGGTTAAGCTGGCAATATTTTTAAGGTTGTATTAGATACAGGTAGTGCTAATCTATGGATTGATTCAAACAGATGTACAGAGCAAGGTTGTATGAGACATAAACAATACAAACATGAAGAAAGTCATTCGTTTTTACCATTGAATTAAGAATTGACAGTAGAATTTGGTAGTGGAGAATTAAAAGGAGTTGTTAATTCTGACACTGTTTATTTTGGAGATATCACATTACCTAGATAAAACTTAGCTGAAATCACAAGTGAAAATGGAATTATTTTCAAAAGTCTTGATTTTGATGGCATTCTTGGTTTAGCATATCCTTAGATGGCTCCCAAAAACTTTAATCCAGTCTTTGATAATATGATGTAATAAAAAGCTCTAGAAAAAAATGAATTTGCCTTCTATTTTGCTAAAGACCCAAATGATATTACACATAGTGAATTTACTTTAGGTGGATATAATGAAGCTCATGTTGATGGAGATATTAATTATCATAATGTTATTGATAAATATTATTGGATGATCAAAGCTGATAGTATTTTAGTAGGAGGTTAAGACATTGGATTATGTGATGATGGCTCTTGTAAATTAATTGTTGATACTGGAACCTCAATTATGAGTGGACCTATGGATGATATAGGAACTTTATTAAGGAATTTGAATGTAAAGGATCATTGTTCTGAAATCAAGTCTCTTCCAACAATTACATTCAAAATAGATGGAATTGATTACTCTCTAGAACCTGAAGAATATGTTAAACCTACAACTAAAGATAGTTCTGCATTTGCTGAAATTAATAGTGCTGAAGATTGTATATATTATTTTTAATTCTATATAGAATCTATGGTAGAAGTCAATAGTTGGGATTGTATTGCTTCCTTTATCCCCTTAGATATTCAAGAACCTTAAGGACCTGCTTGGATTCTTGGAGATGTCTTCTTAAGGAAATATTACAGCATCTATGATAGAGATAATGATAGAGTAGGATTTGCCAAAGCCAAATGATGATCGATAAACCATTATGTAACTAAAATAATTAATACACTTATATTATATTATATTTTATTGATAATTTGTTGTCTGTTAATGCCATAATTAACTCCTTAAACACTTAACAAATTGTGTGAATACTTTTTGTATTTAGCCAAATTAGAATCAGAAATTGAAATTATTCGAAATGTACTTTGTGAACATGATCGCTTTCATCCATTTTTCATTTTTAAACACATAGATGGAATCTCCATCAATCCAAAGGGTTAATTGAATCCTGCAGATCTTCTTCAATTTCTAGAAGACAATGGCTTTGTACACAACTTAGAAGAATGTATTTAATTCATTGATTTATATGATGAAGAATCTAAAGGTTATCTTCTTTATTCATAGTAACTAATTGTTATAATTTTAGATTCTTGAGAATTTGTTTACCTTAAAATAATGTTGTCTTACGATAAAAGATAGCATTATAGAATGTAGATTTCCCTCATTATGATCAAAAGATATCTTATACACTATCTAAATTAATCAACTATGAAATTAAATCAATGGAAACTACATCATCATTTATATAAAAACTTTAGGATTGTTCAGATTATAGTCCATCTGCATGTTTTGAATTCATGGACTCTCAAAACTCATAAATTTTAATAGCATCAAATTTTAGAGATCTCTTCTAAGAATCAGCCATAATTATCTATCCTCATGAATTACAATCTTTATTCAAGAGATTTGATTTACTTAATGATGGAGTCATTGATAAATCTGAATTTATGAAGTATTTTAAAAAAAGAGTCATTAATCCTAAGGAATGCAAAACTCCAATTAAAGATAAATCTTATTTACATAATTTTAAAGAAAAAAGTTAATAAAAATAATTATAATCCCAATAATCAAATAGATCTAAAAAAACATCTACAACTCCTATTAAAAAATTAAATTCTATATTGAAATAAACTGGATAATCACCAAAAAAGGAATTTGATAATTTAAGATCTGTGAGTTTTATTGAAAGTTCTAAGACTTCTAAAACATAGAATTCGAATTAAAGCTATATATTTAAGACTCCCAATTAATAAAATAAAAAATATATAGATTAAAAGACAGAACTGAGAGCATAAATGTAATTATTCAAGGTCTAGAAATCATAATAAAGTTCTATTAATTCCACAATTAAGAAACCTACATAAAAAAGATCTACTTAAAAAAATGGAATAAAGAATTCTCCCAAAAAAAATAAAAATTGTTTTAATCCTTCTACATTTATTAAGGATATATTACTTAAATTAATGAATTTTGAAAAAGAAATTGAAAGAATCAAAATTAATTTACAAGCAACACCTGATTTTTCTATTTGCAATACATTCAGAACATTGGATAAAAGGAAAATGGGATTCTTAATTGCTGAAGATTTAGAATAATTCATAAATAAATAACATCTATCACTTATACTAAAGAAAGTATCTCCTGATGGTAGAATTAAATTTAATTAATTTATTCAATTAATATCACCATATCATTAAGAACAATAATCTATTAGAGAATAGAGTCAAAATAGAAATTACCTTATATAAGGAAGAATATAATAATTATTATCTCTCTTATTTGAGAAATTATATGAGAGAGAACTCTTGTTTTAATAAGCCAATTAAGAAATGAAATAAAATTAATAATGTGATATTAAATACTTATTTATGATGATTGATGAAGATTCATATGATAATGAAATCAGTTTAAAAGATGTATATTATATTTAAATACTATTTTATTAGCTTGATTCATTTTTGTATAAGTAATAAGTGTAACCAGAATTAGAAGACTTGGAATTATTATTCAATAGACTGGATACTGATAGAGATGGAAAAATATCTTTTCTGGATTTTATCAACATTTTTTCCTTTTGATTATATATATATTATATATTATTATTTTTATGCTTCAATTTTTTTAAAGATTAGAGAACCCTGATTCTAAGTTTCATTTATATGATTCATTTTACAGAATAAAAAAGATAGAAAAAGTATGTTTAAAAGAAAATGTAGATGGTAATAAAGTTATAATTCTATTTCTTTAGGTTTATTAATTATTAATGGAATAGACTCAAAAGAGAATTATGAGTATACTAAATTAATGAATTGGGTATTTTTGGGTTATAGTGGAATTGAGATTGAAACAAATGAATATTTGGATAACACTTTGAGTGAAACAATATTTATAATAACTAAAGATCATATAAGAGCATATTGTGATTAATAAGGCTTTAAACAATTAAAACCCTATTTATTATAAATGCCAAATCTTAAATTATTTGTCCCTACAATAAAAGAGGATGATAATAAAGATGAAAGTGAAGTTTTAAAAATGGCTCAATTTGTGAAAATGATGTAAGGATTAAAAAGAATTGGTGTATTACTTCCATAAGAGAAAAATAGAAATATAGAAAAATGGCCTATCATATAAGGTTATGGATTATTAGGAAATGGATTTTTTTCAATGCAACATGAAATTGTGAATATGACTGAAAGAATAAATTAGTTATATAAACCACATGACAAACATTCAATGAAAAATTTAATTAATGTAGTATCTTAAAGATTAAATGGTCATGTCTCAGGATCTTTATAATTATTATCAGAAATTGCTATCAAAAAAAGACCTTTAGTTACAAGTGAATAAATGGTTGAAATATTCCTAGATACATTTGAAATTGAAGAGAATAAATATGTTAAAAGATCTAATAAATTAACTCCTACAGTCACTTTTGGAAATTGTAGTTCATAAGAGAAATTACCATTACATTTAACAATAGAGAGTAGTGATCTATTTTCTTCTCTTCGTTTTTCTAGAACATATTTTCTTACAAAATAAGTGAATAGAGAAAATGTTATCATACCTATACATGATGATTTTGAACATTTTGTTAAGGAATATCAATATTAAATAATTGAACATTAATATCATAAAGACGAATGGTATTATATAATTATTATTTAAGTTTATTAATTGAAATTTATAAAATATTAATTGAAAGTTTTTATTCTGCCTTATAAATGATATGTTAAGATTATAGAAAGATGACTAATTAATTAATATTTGAATTATGTGAAGAAAGATTGAATCCAACATTAAATAATTATAAGTTATAATTTCTAAAAGATAATCTTATTATTACTGTAACTAGTTATAATGCTTTTGGTGAAGAAATACCAATCAATTTTAAAGATCCTATATCTTTTAAATTAACACCTTAATTCTTTTCAATAAGATTAGAATATAAGAATATTCCCTCTTAAGTTGTTGATGGAATCATATTAGGGAATGTAATTTTTTCTGATTCATTTATTCTTTAAGAAAATTGTTATTATATTATTACTAGTAATATTCCTCATCTTTAAATTATTAACACTGATGCTAGATTTTCAGATGATATTGAGAAAGTTAAAAAGAAATTACCTTTAGAAAAATTGGGTTAGTAGATTTCAGATAAGGTTGATAAAAATAGATTATTTATTCCATCTAAACATGCATTATTAGAAATTCCAATTTAAATTGCTTCATATATATTACATGAAAATGGAATCAGAATTTTTACTAGTGAAATGGGTTGGTTTTTTATTTTGTTTGATTAAATGAAGAAGATTAAATTTACTTAAGGATTGGAATCTGTTTGGATGATATTTATGACTGAACCTATTCTTTGCGCATCTTTATAAGCCAAGACTATAGCATTAGAATTTGTGGGTAAATCAGTTGATTAAGTCTATATGAAAATGATCAATATTCTAAAAGATAAGGAAATTAAAGTAGATTACACAGAGAATCCAAAGGAATTCTAATTAACTAGATTAGGATAGATGATTTTAAAGAAAGATCAAAAAGTTCCATTATTAGGAAACATGATTAAAGAATCTTCATTTTTATTAGATTATTTAGAATCAAAATAATTAGTTATTTTAACATAAGTCAAAAATGATCTCAAATTATTAAATTATTTAGCTTTATAAGATGAATCTAAATAAATAGATAATAGAATTGGTCTTATCTTAATTACAGGTACCTATAGTAGTGGTAAGAATAAATTTGCTTAATCTTTGTAAAGATATGCAAGTGATTTTAATTAAAAAGCATAAGTATTGAGTTTTAGTTTATTGGAATAATCAATTTTAGATGAAGAGGGATGGCTCAATAAATTAGAAAATCAATTAAAATATTCTAAAGAGTAATGTATATGTGTTATACCATTTTATTTGTCTATTGATATTATAGTGCATTAATTATGTAATGGAAAACTTAGTTAATTTGTATATATTAAGAATGTAGTTAATAAAATCAATATTAATAATATTTATTAAAATGAGAATTGCTAACCTATGTAAAGTTATTGATATCTTTTTAGTGATAATTTAATTAGTCAAAGTCTACCTGGTTATTGTTAATTTACAATTTTAGACTCTTTTGGTAATGAGGAATCTGAAGTTGAAGAATATTTTAAGATCTTTAGAACTGTATGTATTAAATCTAATATATTTCGTATTACAAATAATATGATCTAATCATCTGTAGCTAAAGAAATTTATTAATGTACATCATATAATTCAACTCAAAATATATTTCTTAGAAGCAAATTGGCATCATATAAAAGTTAAATAGTTCCATATCAAAAAGTATTTATTTATAATTCTATTCCTTGTGTGAAAACATTCAGAAAAATTTTAAGAGAACTCTTTAAGACTACATAATCATAAAAGGTATAAATAGCTAATTATGATAAACTTTCTGAAATTGATAAATTTATTTTTAGAGTTAAAGAATTCAATTCTCCATCAAAACCATAATTATCATATCTTAAAGCATTTCTCAGATTTGAAGGTTAATTAGATAAATTATATGAATATACAGCCAATAATAATTATATTGTTGAAAGACAAGTCAAATCTGTCAATATTCTACTTAAAGAACAATTAATTAATGGTACTAAACTTTAAATACCTTCTTATGTTGGTTGGGATACTCATTCTAATTTAGGATTTTTTATGGTTGGTTAAAATATATCAAAAGATATTTGTTAATAATATATAGGAGAATTAATATAAAAAATGAAACCTTTATAAGCTTTACTGACTAAGAATGATTTATCAAAAGAAATTATCAAAGAAATTGAATTTAAAAATAGAATTATTGGATTAGAGAATGGAGAATTTTATGATGGTCAATTTATTAGAAATCAAGATGGAGAAATCTTAGAACATCATCCAAAATTAGATATATTTATTTAAGATTATTTAAATATTCAAAATCAAAAGATAATTGAATAGAATAATTAAATATAATAAGAGTGGAATAATTATTTAAATGCTCTTAAATGTTGAGATATAATAATGTTTTATCAGTATTTTTTTATTAAAATAAATAAGTTTACATATAAAACAAATTCAAAAATCATCTAATGTTAATATTGGTTTATTCTATACAAAATAATATCCTTTTAATAATTTTTAAGTGCAATTAACATTTGAGATCTAATCTAAAGATTTCTTCACTTCTTATAAATGTGTTGACAATTTAGTAGGTTTTAATACCTAATCAGTTGTACTTTCTGATTAAGAATCCTTTTTATCTAATTTCTTAACTAATGATGCATCTGTAGTTTTGATGATCCATGTAGTTTAATCATTAGAAGAATCTTACTATTTAAATATTAAAGTATATTATTACTTTCTTAAGAGATCTATTATTAGTTTAAGATTTAGCAATGGAAACAGGAGAATTGTTAGCATTAGGAGAATGATATGTGAATTTTTTTCTTATATCAATTTATTAACTACTTTATACACTATGTTATGATTATTACTATTATATAATATTTATATTTACTTGATTTAATTTATTTCTCATTTATTATATAGAAGAATAATATTATAATTAAAGTACTTATTTTTCAATTTTAGCTTATAAATTAGATATAATTCTTTAACAGGTTTCTGCTTATTAATATAATACAGTTGATAGTTCTTAATTTTGTAATTTCAATTAATGTTTTTTCTAGAAAGTATTTAATAAATCTTACTTTAGATAAATTAGATACTTTGTTTTAAAGTTTTTCTATCTCTAATTTTTAATTCTCTATAGTCTTTTCATATTGGATTAATTTACGCTCATCTGTTTTAAGCTAATTATTATCAATATCTATCCACCTTTTATCGTTACTCAAACATTCATCCATTCCTTGACTATTATTGAGTCTAGAAGTAAAAATCTCAAATTAATTTGAATTGAAAAAATCATGAACCTAATCTTATTAACTTTATTTCATTGATTATTATTATTAATATGATTCTAGAACACCTAAAATTACATTTGAAATTGATATACGTTTAAGTTCATTAAGTTCTTTTTCTGTATTATTTAATTTTGATTCAAGAATATCAATTTCTCTTTATTATGATTCTATACATTTAGTTTTATCTAAATTTGTGAAGCTTGTAATTTTATGTATTTCAACTATTTAATATTTTGTTTAATATTTCTCTAATCTGTTTTAAAATTCTAAAATCATTTGTTCTTATAAGATAGCTGATGATTTTTCAAAGTATTCATAAAATTGTTTCTCTACTTATGAGATGGCACAATCTTAGAGAATCAACTCAAAATTTTTCTTATTATTTTATGGATTTTGATTTCCTTGATTTTATACATTATTTATATATCATACCTTATTATTTAAGATTTTTTAAACTTTACTATAGTTGTTGATTCTCTAATTATGCTTCAGATAATTAGGATTAGAGTTTAACAATCTACTGTTTATAATCATCCTGTTAAATTGATTATTAAGATTAATTTTATTATTGTTCTATTCTATATAGAAGTAAAGCATTTTTCTTTTCCAATTCATCGTTTAGCTATATTTATTTATTTACTTTTGGATATACCTAAATGGCATTTTTCAATAGAAATCTGAGCCTTTCAATCGTTCTTTATTCATCATTATATGAAGTGTTTCCTTTTTTATTATTTTTTGGAGTATTATTTGTAGACACAAACATTATATTAGATAAGAATTATAAAATTATAATTATGAATAAAATAATGAGATATTTTATAGGATTTATATTAATTTTATATTTTAGATTAGATATAAAATATAAACATATTAATCTTAGATAAGATATAGATATTATAAATTAACATAATCCTTATATTAGATATTAAATATAAGGTATAACATCAAACTTATAATCTCAATAGACATTCTTGAATAAATGTTTTGGTATCTTTAATAATGTAATAGACTCTTATTAATTCATCAAATTGTCTATTTCTATAGACAGCTTCTGTATCACAAGAATCACATTTATATTTATAACATTTTTCACAACAAGAATGTCCACATGGAATATAAGTTCTAGGTTTTTCAAATAGATTTTAGCATCTACAACATCGAAGACTTAATTTAAGTTCAGTCTCCAATACTTCTATTCTCAATAAATGTTTCTAGATTTAATTTTCTTATGCAGATTTATCAATTTAATGATTCTATTAAATTAATTTTTCTTTTAGAGATTAATTCTAAAATAATAATTATTATAAGATAGATTTATCTTATTAAGAATCGATATTTAATTTTGGAGATACTTCATTTGGTAAAGTTTACAAAGTTTTTTTGTTTAATTCTTAACGATCTTTTAACTATTTTTTAAGATTGTCTAATTAATTTTGAAGATTTGAAATGATATTATTCAATTAATCAATTTATGAATTTTAATTTTTAATTGAGATGGATTACTTTTTGATAATTTAATCTTATTCTTCAAGTTATAATAACAATTATTAAATAGATTATTGATTTTGTTCTTTAGAGTTCCTGTATGAAAATTATATTTTCTATATATTATTTATATTGATAGTATTGTCTTCAGCAAATAGAAGTTCGTATTAATAAATTTATTTCAATTTAAATAGTAAATCATCATACTTTGAATCTGTTTCTATAGTTTTTCCTTTAGTTAGAATAACTTTTTGAGATTATTTATGTAATTCATCAATTTTTTGATCATAATTTCTTTTTGTAATTTTTTCATTCAATTATTAAAGATCTAATTATTGCTGCAAAATAAGAATAGACAGTTACTTTAAATTTTGAACATTATGTACATGAAGGTGGAGAAGTTATCTTCATTACAAATGATTTATTTGTTTAAACATATTCTAGTTGTTTTTATAAAGATTCAATTTAAGATTTTAAAGAGTAAATATCATGATGCTCACTTTTTTATAATAGCATCCTTTTTTAAGAGGTGTCAGGAGTTATAGCAGTTGGTCTTCTTTTTTACAGATTTCTTAAATTAGGTAGCATTTTTACTTATTTTTAATTAAAAATTAATGAGATGAAACTTATTGATATGTAATATAGGAATTAATTCAATTAAAAATATATAAAAATATTAATAATATATATATGTTTAACAAAAAGAAACTTTTATAAAACATTATAGAACACTATTATGAGTAAGTATAATAAATGGAATCAAATAATGAAATTGATAATAAATAAGCAACTAAAATATAATCATATTATAGAATGTATGTGTTACATAAATCTTACAAAAAAAATCAAAATGCAACAATTACAATTCAAAAATATTGCAGAGCTTATCTTGCAAGATAATTAGTAAAATAGAAATTAAGTGAAAGTAGAAATAGAAGAAATGTAATTATTATTTTCATATTTAATTAGATTATATATTTATTTCATTAAGCATAAACAATATAAAGATATTTTAGAGGATATATATATCGTAAATATGTTCATGATTTTTACTTAAGAAAAAAGTAACTTGAATTAATGAATATTAAAAATCAAAATTTTTTACAAGAATTACGTTCAAAAGCTGAATAAGAAAAAGAAGAAGAAAAAATAAGACATGAATAAGCTGCCAAATAAGAATTTATGAAATTAGCTATTAATTTACATCATTTAACATCAACTAAATCTCAACCTGGAATTTATAAGCCTCCATTTGCAAAAGAAAATCCAAAAGCTTTTGATATTGAAGTTGAAACTTAATTAAAAATTGCATTTCAAACTAATGTATAATGGAAAACATAAAAAAGAAGTGGAAGTGCTCAAAGAGCAGTCACAAGTTAAGGATTCAGAATAAGACCATAATCATAGAAACTCAAATGATTTAATATAAATATATTATTTTACTGTAATTCAAAACACATATAATACTATTAAATTGATTAAAAACAAAGGCAAAAATAGGATACTGAGGTAGTAATAGAATAAATTGCCTTATCCAATACATCTTCCTAAAAAATTGCTATGATGATGAAACTCTCTTATGCATACATTACAAGTTTCACAATGATATGTGTCTTTTCTATAATGAACAATTTCACATATCTATTATATATAGATAAATAATAAATACTTCACAATTATTATGTCTATTGAGTGTTTCTTATAGGGATGTATTAATTCCAGGATTGATAAGAGCTGCAATAATATATCCTAAAAGTTCTAAAACATTTATTATGATTGTAATGCAAAATTATATGGTTTTTTATTTAGGTTTTGTAAATTGAAAATATGTAATGACAAATAGTACAATTATTACAAATAGATTGATTATCCATTATGGACTAATTGCAAATATAGGTTCATCATTAATAAAAATTAAGGGAATATAATTTCCAAAATGTCTTTTCCATTCTTTTATTTTAGTTAATTTCTTTCTAGTTTCTTCATCTGAATCTTAATCAAAATATTATTCTTCTTCTTTCAATTTATTAATTTTCATTTCTATTTATGAAATCTCAGAATCATCCAATTCTTTTTCTATTGGTTTTTTTGAATCTTCTATATTGTATTTTATATCTTCTTCATCAAATTCAACATTCATATCATCATCATCATCATCTTGCTTTTCAAAATACTCAAAATCCATAAAGTAATTATTTTACTAAATGAGATTGAAAAAAATAATTAAGTTTATTTTTCTTTTTATTAATAACCTTAATAATGTTTAGAGAAACAAGAGTAAATAATAGATTGGAATAAGATAAAAAGGTTAGACAGAATTAAATTTCAGAATTGATTAAAATATTTGAAGAAGATTAAATACAAACAGATGTTGCTTAATAATTTTCGAATTAGCTTGAATAAGCAGCTTTTGAATTATCAGGTGGTGAGAATACTAGAGAATATAGAACTAGATTAAATACAGTCAAAATTAGATTAAATGGCACCAAAGGTAAGTTATTATTACAAATTTAGGACAATTTATTCGATAGGTTCTATTGTAAAATATTATGACTCCTTTAGAGTTGATGTCATTTGATATGTCTAAGTTAAATGAAAATTCAATCCAAACATTCTTGGAACAAAATAATAGATAATTTCCTTAAAAGAATATCTCCAATAGATTAGTATAGAGAATAGTTATGGATAAAGATCTTTCTTAAAATTCTAATGAAAAATAAAAGGAATCAAATAATGATTTAAAAATTAATTCATAATAACAATAAAAAGAGTAAGTTAATGTAGAAAATTTTAATTAACTTGACTAAAATAAACCTACTGAATTGATACAAACTGAAATTAAACAATAAAATATTGAAGAACATCCTCAACCAATAACAGAAACAGAGAAAATTGATTTTGCTCCTTAAGAAGAACCTATTTAATAATTTGAAGAATATATCGATTATGTATAAATTATATATTATATTTAGAGTTTTGAATATAATCAAAAATAAAGAGATTTTGTTGAAGGAAATGATTTTCCTAATATTGAAGAACTATAAATTAATGAAATCAAATAAAATAATTTATAAGATGATTAATTTGGAAATAGTCCATTGCCTTCTGACAATGTATTAAATCAAGAATTTCTCTAAGATGATCCTTAAATAGATGGACCTAAAGAGAATATTTAAACTGAAATTTTAGATTCTTAAATTTAAGANTTTTATTTTAGTTAATTTCTTTCTAGTTTCTTCATCTGAATCTTAATCAAAATATTATTCTTCTTCTTTCAATTTATTAATTTTCATTTCTATTTATGAAATCTCAGAATCATCCAATTCTTTTTCTATTGGTTTTTTTGAATCTTCTATATTGTATTTTATATCTTCTTCATCAAATTCAACATTCATATCATCATCATCATCATCTTGCTTTTCAAAATACTCAAAATCCATAAAGTAATTATTTTACTAAATGAGATTGAAAAAAATAATTAAGTTTATTTTTCTTTTTATTAATAACCTTAATAATGTTTAGAGAAACAAGAGTAAATAATAGATTGGAATAAGATAAAAAGGTTAGACAGAATTAAATTTCAGAATTGATTAAAATATTTGAAGAAGATTAAATACAAACAGATGTTGCTTAATAATTTTCGAATTAGCTTGAATAAGCAGCTTTTGAATTATCAGGTGGTGAGAATACTAGAGAATATAGAACTAGATTAAATACAGTCAAAATTAGATTAAATGGCACCAAAGGTAAGTTATTATTACAAATTTAGGACAATTTATTCGATAGGTTCTATTGTAAAATATTATGACTCCTTTAGAGTTGATGTCATTTGATATGTCTAAGTTAAATGAAAATTCAATCCAAACATTCTTGGAACAAAATAATAGATAATTTCCTTAAAAGAATATCTCCAATAGATTAGTATAGAGAATAGTTATGGATAAAGATCTTTCTTAAAATTCTAATGAAAAATAAAAGGAATCAAATAATGATTTAAAAATTAATTCATAATAACAATAAAAAGAGTAAGTTAATGTAGAAAATTTTAATTAACTTGACTAAAATAAACCTACTGAATTGATACAAACTGAAATTAAACAATAAAATATTGAAGAACATCCTCAACCAATAACAGAAACAGAGAAAATTGATTTTGCTCCTTAAGAAGAACCTATTTAATAATTTGAAGAATATATCGATTATGTATAAATTATATATTATATTTAGAGTTTTGAATATAATCAAAAATAAAGAGATTTTGTTGAAGGAAATGATTTTCCTAATATTGAAGAACTATAAATTAATGAAATCAAATAAAATAATTTATAAGATGATTAATTTGGAAATAGTCCATTGCCTTCTGACAATGTATTAAATCAAGAATTTCTCTAAGATGATCCTTAAATAGATGGACCTAAAGAGAATATTTAAACTGAAATTTTAGATTCTTAAATTTAAGAAGAAGAATAAAAATATTATGAACATGAATGTAGTTTTTAAATATAGGAATAATAATTAATAAATGCTAAAAAACAAAATGAAATTTTAGATCAATAAATAGATCATTAATTAGCTGAATTTGCAGTTCAAACAAATGTGTAAAATGATAATATTCAAAAAAATTAATAAAATCATATTTAAAATTTAAAATAAGAAACCAATAATATTCATACTCATCATTTTGAACAATAAATATATTAAAAAGTTATTGATTAACATTAATAATAAAATATTAAAGATATTTAACAATAAAAATAAGTAAATATTGAATAATTACCTCATAATTATGAAGAATTTTTTAATTTTATTGATAATAGAGATCTATAATATGAAAAGTAAATAAATTAATTGATAGATTAAAATAAAAATTTAACAGAATAATTTTATAAAATCTAAATAGAAAATTAAGTTCAATAAGAGAATTTGGAAATTTAAAACCTAAATTGTTAAAATCTTATTTAATAATTAATCAATGAAAATAATATTTTAAAATTAACTTTTTAATAAAATGAATAACAATAACAATAATTACTTGCCCATTTAAAAGAATTATCATTAATAGAAAAGGCTTAATTTTAATAAGTTTATTAAAACTAATTATCTAATCAATAAAAACATAAAGAATTTTTAGAATAAATTAGATTTAACTTAGATTATAGAAAAGATACTGTTATTAAATTAAAATAATCTAATTCTATAAGTATTAATTTAGATGATGAAATTGGTTAGATATAAGATCTTTTAGCCAAATAATATATGTTTGAACATAATAATTATTAAACAAATTCTTAAACAAATGAGATTCAAACATTCAATCAATAATATTGGGCATCTGAAAATGATGCTTAGACTATTGGTACTATGGTTAATGCAGATTCTGGTTCAACATAAATTCGTAGAAATAAAGAAGCTTTGAATACAGAAGTTTAAGAAGAAGTTGAATAATTCTAAGTTTAAAGTGAAGCTCACAATATTGGAGATACAAATTAGACTAGATCTTATTAATAAACTATAGAAAACAATTAATTTAAGAATTCTACTTAGGAATAAACTAATTAGGAAAAAGAATAATAAATAAATGATTAATTTTAAAATAAGAGAATTAATAATATCAAATAAAATGATTTAGATGTATAGGGTATAAATAATGGAGAAGATTAAAATTTATAAGATAATCAAATGTTTAAATAGATTAAAAGTACTAATCAAAATAAAGGAAGTGAAATTTAAATGAATTAATAAAGAAAAAGATAATAAGTAAAACGATCTAATGTTCCTGAATCATTATTTGATTGACAATGAAATATTGAATAATTTATACCAATAGAAAGAATTGTGTGTATATTATGAAATACCTCACTTAATTGTGTAAGTTTTTCATTAATTTAAGTTTAAATTCTAAAATATATCTAGATTATAATTTTTTATATTGTTTCTTTAAGTATTTTTTATAAAGTAAAGTAGTTCAAATCTTAAATAAGTATTTTATTGTCCAATATTAATATTTTAATAAAAAATGTCTTATAGAAAACCTAAAGTTATACATCCAGAGACTGGAAATGGATATGAAATAAGAGGATTTGTTGAACCAACATTCAAAAGAGTTCCTCATTGTCACAATGATGATGACATTGATGTTGATATTCCAAATGGGGATCTTGAATTTGGTAAGGTGATGTATGGTTAAGCATGTGCTGGTTGTCATGATTTAGGTATTTATTTAAATCTATTTTTCAAAGATAGTGATCTTGATTAAGGACCAGCTTTAAGAAATGCTTTTTTAAGAAGATTGGGATCAAATAAGAAATTTTCTAATTATGGATGGGATTTAAGAGCAAGAAGATTGTATTGGACAAGAAAATTATTATGGGATTTCTTATAAAATCCAGAGAAAATGTTTTTAGATACTAACATGCAATTTGATGGAGTACTTTGAATTAATATATTTTTAGATTCAAGACCCAAGAACTTTAGGCAGTATAATTGACTATATGTAATATTTAACAGTGTATACTTACGATCATAGAGGATCAAAAAGACCTATCTTTTGAAACATAATCAAATATATATATATATATGCATAGCATTAAAATTTTAATATATCTTTTATATAAAAAGTCAGGCAGTATTTTATTCACAAATAAACAATGTAAAATTATAATTATTATTAATCATTTTTAAAATTCTATATTATTATTTTTCTACATTAATATTTAAGATTAATGGTAAAAAATAAGATTCTAAAAATTAAACATATTTTATATAATAATATGCTTTATATATATATATATAATATGATAATAGCATAATAAATTCAATTAATCCATTTCTCATCATATTCTACTTTGAATTCTGGAATTGAAATAGGTGCAGGCAACTTATACTATTCTTGAACTATTTAAATATTAGATATATTAGTGCTTTCATTTGATAAATAAATATTTGATAAATAAATTTAATAGGATTAAAAAAAAGATTGTAATCCAAAACCTTATATAATTCTTTTTGTCTCCTAAAATAAATTTAAATTAATCTTTACTTTATCTAAATTTTCAGTCTTTGATATATAGTTGTAGGTTATTTTCAAACATATTATATATTTTAACATTGCAATATAATTATCTAATACGTAAAAAAAGTTCCCTTTGTGCTTTTAAATCTCAATATTTGCTTTATAAATACTCTCTTCATCCTCCTTCTAATCTATTTTAATGATGTGTATGTTTCTCAAAAATCTTAGTTCTTCTTTATTTCTTGTTGTTATAATTAGATTAATTTTCTTATCCTCAATAAAATTTTTTAATTAATCTTAATTGATTTCTTTTTCATCCGATATTAAATAATCAACATTTATAAAGGCAACGGTTGAGGAATTTATATTCATTGTCAAAATCTTCTCTTATAACATTATTGCTTATATTATTTATAATAAAAAATTAAATTAGATTATTATTAATTTTCAACTTTCGCCTAAAACCGTTGATTATTTTTTTTAATCAAATAGAACTAAATTATTAAATAAGTTTGCCCAATAACAATATCCCTTATTCTTGAATAATTGGATCTTGTAAATATATACTAGTAAAAGTAATATCTAAAGGAAGTGGATTAAGATTATTTTAGTTATAGTAAAAAATAAACTTAATTTTCTGAATCTATTATATAATAAGAGTACTGAGATTATGGATTATTAAATTCTTTGTGTACACTTTAACCTTATAATTTTATTAAATGCTAAATTTCATACTAAGTTATTATCAATATTAAAATTTTCTAAATAAAATTTGATTAAGTTCAAATATTAAAATTCAAGTTAGTCCTGCTTCTTTAATAATATCAAAATTAGATTATTTATAGACTTATATATAAAAAATACAAATAAAATTTTAATATAATATTTAAATTTTAATTAGAAATCATTATTGTTTTAGTATCGAGCTTTGAATGAATCTGGATTGAATCTTTGTAGCTTATTAAGTTTATTAGTCTATTTATATCTAAGAACCATATATTTTATTCCAATCTATTTAATTCTTTTTGTTTAAATCTGGTATTGCTTAATCAATTATAGAGGATTTTTGTGATTATGATTTTTGAGTTGATATTGATAAATTATCTTAAAAATTATTTTAATTCAATTTATTTTACTCTTGTATTTCCTAATATTAATTTATAAATACTTTTTATACACGTTCCTCATCCCATTAATAAAGATGCTTCAAATAATGTTTAAGAACTTTTATGCTCTTTTACATGCTGCTTTCACAGTAAATAGCAACTGAACATTTTTTTATTTTAGTCCAAAACTCTTTTTAGAAAACATATTTACATGTAAGAATAATCTTGAAGATTCTAATTGATCCTATAAATTTATATGTATGTTTAAATAGTGTATTCCATATGCTTTCATGGATTGATCATTATCAATGCAATTTATAATAGCACTTATATTATATTATTTTAAGGTCTCTAATGTACTTTCTATTTAATCAATAGTGGTTGTTTTCTCTAAATTGCAAAATGGATTAACAAATTCTTATTCAACAACATAGAGATTAACTTTTTCATCTAGTCTAAATGCAATGTACATTTATTTTATATTAATTATTTACGTTGTTTTAATTCTAACTTAAAGACTAATGATAATAATTTAAATTATAAAAACCATTCTATAATTCAATTAATAAACATAAAGTAATTAAAAATACAGATAAAATATATATATATATATTTGAATAATAAAATTGCATCTTATCTTCTTTTCTTATAATTATTATATTTCTATATTAATAATTACAATAAAATAATATTGAAATGGATTAAACTTTTTATCAGAATATATAGAAAAAATTAGAGAACAAATTAGATTTCAGTAACAAAAATGATGATCTAAAGAATTTGTTACTTGAGTGTAATAAAATCTAAAATGTACTATTCATTTTTAAATTAAGAATGTACTTGGTTATAAAATAATGACTCAGATATTTTAAGCAATCTAAAAATCTGGGTAAAGGGTTCTTTTAATGGATTAAGATCAAGTTTAAATAATTAAGACTTGTAAATCTTTGGCTATCTTGGGATATTTTTATAATCAAGATTAAATAAAAATATCAAATAAAGACAAAGAGTTTAGAGAAAATATCAGAACACAAATAGATGAATTATAATAATAAGGTAACTTAGAGAAAGCCTTCTTGTTAGATGAAGCAATGAAATGCAAAACTAAAGATGAATATATTGAAATAAGCAACATCATAAAAATAATAGTAAATTTATTAATAGATTTTGGTAATGATTCATTTCATTTCACATAAATCTTTGATGTCATCTTAAATGCTTTATTACTTACAGGAAATAATACTACAATAGGAAGAGATAGTCAATTATTATCTATATTAGATAAATTGCAAAAACTTCTTGATGATTCTACATCACCTTATTTATGGACTATAGTAATGGAATCAATATTAAATGCTTCGACTTATATGGAAAAACCTACAGATTTTGTACAACCTAATATGATAGCAAGAATAATTATTTTCAAAGTAAATAAATTAAATTAATTAGATCCCATATATTGATGATTTATTTAAGTATTTTGGTAAGTATTTAGGAAGATGTTATAAATTTGAATATAAGATGTTTGAATCTATGTTAAATTTTGGTGTTACACAATAAACACTAGAATTAATATTGAAATTTAGTAAATAATTTGTTAAAGACTATTAAACAGAAATTTTAGTAGAGATGAGAAAGAATCTTATACCAAATCTAATAAAGTATATGAAAACTATCAATTGTTTTGATTAGATCTAAAATCTATTTAATTATTTCTTAATTTCATCTTTTTAATAAGTAGGTGATCAATAATTAGATTAATAACATTTTACTGAAATTATAAATAATTATTATAAGAATTTTGAATTATACAGTGATAAATAATTACAAAGAATTGCTAATTTCCTTGCATTATTACCAGATAATTTAAAGAAAAAAAATATAAAAAATTATGAATAATTAGAGTCAAAATTAAGAAAGAAATATATTTCAATACCACCATCACATTCAAATTAATTAATTTAAAATGAGTAAATACAAATTTGGTTTAATGAGGAAAATTCATAAATAGAGGATAAATAACCAACCTAGAAATTAGTAGGTTTAAGAAATTTATTAAATAGTAAGAATATTTTATATTTTTCTTTTAAGCATGCTACTTGAACAGTTTTATCTAAGCACTATTTTGGACTATAGATTTTAGAAATCTTATAATTAATGAATTTAAAAGAGAAGAAGTTGTATTTCTAAAACCATTTAGTTTAAAAACAAACTTCCTTAGAGTATTTCTATAATTATAAAATATATTAGTGCTTCTTATTCTTAGATTCAATGAGTGATGAAATTGATTATACACCATTATTATTAAAAAGATCTTTAAGAGAACCTTATAAAACAGATGTTAGATAATAAGATGCAGCTGAATTTGGTGTTCATTTATTTGAGGATATGGAAAATAATTTTGATCCAGAAGAATATGTAAAAATTAAAACAATAAATTTATAGAAAAAAATCAAAGACATATTTTATGGAATGTCAAAATCAACATTTTAATGTAAAAAATGTGAAAAACCAACCAAAGGACCAGATGAAGAATTTATGTATATCACATTGAATTTTGAAAACAATAGAAAAGAAAAAGATGAAATTGAAAAAATGATATTAAGACATTAAATGAAAGAATAAATTACTTTTAATTGTGAATAATGCAAAAATACTAGTCAAAGTACTAGAACTCTAGAATTTTCAAAATTACCTAAAAACTTAATTATTTAAATTAATAGATTTGAATTTCAATAAGGAATGAGATCTAAAATAAATGATTAAATCAATTTAAAACCAACCATATCAATCAAAGAAAATTAAAAATAATTAACTTATGAATTGTATTCAATAATTATACATTTTGGAGAAATACCAGATGCAGGTCATTATACTGTATATTGTAAAGTTAAAGATGAATGGTATAGATTTGATGATAGCATTGTAACTAAGGTTGATAGAGATTTTGATAAAGTGTAAAGAAATTTCAAGTAATTTATTAATAATCTTATTATTATAGAAAAGAAGAAACCCCTTATCTATTATTCTTTAGAAGAAAAGATGGATGAATTAATATAAAATATTTTTTTTTATTTTAGTTTGTTATCTACAATATTTCTAAAGATAATTAACTATTTTCAATAATAATTATTATATAAATTGAAAAGTTATTTAAATTATAAAAAAAAATGAGCTTATTTATATAAGTAATCAATTATATTCAAATCTCATATTCCAGCTTGAGACCATTCATTAAAGAAGTTAATTATTCTTTTTCTAAATTAGATTTTTCAAGTTGAGCCTTTGATGTTTCAGGATTGTATTCAATTATAAAATTATCCATTAACTATATATATAAATTATATATATTTACATATTTATCATAAAATTATCCATACCAAATTATTCTTAAATCACCTTATCGAATTGCCCATAGACATGTAAATATTATTATCAATGGGTATACAAATATTGATTAAGGGAGTTGGATACCATTTTTAGAGGATGATAATGTACCTAATAGCCAACATACTATCCCAAAAAAGAGACCCACTAATCCTATTATAAAATAAACTCTAGAATTTCTGTTTCTATCAAATCTATATAAATAAGAAATGGATATCCCTGGAACCACTAAATCCATTAATGATAACCAAACACAAACCTTTAAATAATTGTATCTAAATTAAGGTATCTAAAAAAGCACTGGATAATTAGAGTACTTATTTATTAATAAATTATTATTACTTACAAGACGATAATTTGATAATTAACAGAGAACACTTTTGTCAAAAGAACAAAATAATATATGCAATCAAAAAGAATTATGGCTAAGTATAAAATTGTAACTCCTCTTAAATTTGTAACCTTAAATAATCTAAGCAAAGATCCAGTTATGCAAAATGTGATAAAATTTGATATGTACCAAGCCTAATCCAATGTTAAATAGAGAACTACAAATAAAATTGATAAAAAAATTGATATGCAATCACATACTCTTATTGATTTGAATACTTCTGCTTACAATCTTAAATTAACAGATAAAAAGCATTGTAATTCATTGAATAAAAACCAGCAACAAAATAAAGCAAATATTAAGCACATTATCATAACTACTTCATACCAAGCATTTATGAAATGAACAACAACATAAAACAATATTGATGCCAATATATACACTAAATATAATATCCAATTCACTACAAATCCTTAAAAATAAAGTATTTGATCTTCTAACTAAAATTATTAACTTGCAATTAATCTATTTAAGAATGGATATTTATTGAGATCAATCTCAATTTTTAAAGATCTAATTTTAGCCATCTTAGTAAAAATCCACACAAATAAACATCCAATTAGTGCAATTATTATCATAGATGAAACAAAATTGATTTTTATTTATTATGGCGATTTAAATTCAATATACTAACAAATAAACCAATATTAAAAGGTAAGATATAGTTTTTAATTCGACTATGTATTAATCACTCCTATTTCAAATTAAGCCATTCCTGATTCTATTGATTCTGTATCTGATTTTTCTTTCTCACAAATGTTTTCAATCTGAATATTAGTCTAATTAATGAATGTATAGTTTCCTGATTATTGAAATCCTAAGTTTTTATACTTAACATCTTGATTCTCTATGATATAACCATCCAAAATAACTTCTAAGGTATTTTAATAATTAGAGATTGATGTGGCATTAATAATTTCTAATTGTGGAGGTGTACAACAAGAAGTATCATCCCAATGAAATAAATCATTATATTTTTATTCCTCACTATAGATCACCCAAGAATTCTGAAAATTGTCAACAAGAGTAATACTTTATGTGAAAGCATATTCTACATAAAATAGTAAAATACTTACAAACATTATTTAATTAATAAAAAAACTAATTGAGAATCAATTCTAGTCATACACTATGTAAATCTAGTATTGATTTAATCTTAAATGGGAAACTTAAATGAACAATGAATTATTTTCTTAATCATTCTTTATTTATTTTATATTTGAATTAGCATTCTATAAAATCAAAATATTCTTTTTTATAGATTTAACTAAAAATTATTTTAGTTTAAAAAATATATATAATAAAGTGTACTTAAATTTCAAAGTTAAGATTTGATCACCTTAATTTCTTAAATAATAGTTTTGATACTATGAAATTAGTGTTTTTAATAATTGAGAAATAAATTTCTTAGTTATATTTCAACTAATAGACTAGATTTAATTTTATTGTTCATGTCTTTCCTTTTTGGTTTTATTAATAAATCATATAATTATTATACTTTTTTAGAATGCTTAATACTTAAATTAATTTTTTTGAAGAGAATTACATATTCAAATTAAGAAAATATATATCAATATATCATTTACAAAGTTAATGTAAAAGGAAAATGAATGGAAGAAAGATAAAGCAGTTTTAGAATAAAAAATATATTTACTAGAACTTTAATTAGAGTCAAGAGAATCCAATTATAAAAAATTGAATGAGACTATATCATAAACTATAAATGATTCTTCTACAATGTAAAAAGTAATAACTTCTTTTACATTATTATAGAGATCTGTGTCAGAATTATAAAAAAATGTCGATATTTAACAGAATGATCATAACAAAAGCATGTTCAAAGAGCAAATTAAGTCTCTGGGACTTTAAGTAATTTATTGATTTTAATAAAAGTATAATACAGAATTCTAATCATTAAACTATTAAATTTATTCTTCATATTATTATTTGATATTAACTATATTTATATATTATTCTATATGCTATTGATATTTTTTGATAGTGTTCTAGCATTTACTTATTCTTAGTTGTAATTATTCCTTTTCTTTTTCATAGAGCAATGACAATTATGAATACTATGATTCATAATCAGATTGTCTTACTTAGATATCTTAAATATTTCGATCCTTTATTTTTATAATTCTTATTCAAACTGATTTTTATATTGTTACTCTCTTTATTTAAAGCTCTCTTCAAATATGAGCATTTATTCCTTGAGCTTTACATATTCTTGATTAGTCCACAACTTCTCTTATTCCAATTAAACAATTCTATTATCATATTGATAACATTGCTTTTAGAATAATAGTTCCATCTCTTTTCCTTATTAATCTTTTTCATGTAATTACTCTGTTAATGACCTAACCTATTAAATTATAATTTCAATATGAAATAATAAATCTTATTGTCATAGGTTAATAAACTCAAAAAAACAATAAGAGATCCAATCCTATGTTGAAGGAAAGCATATATTATCGTGAATCTTTTCTAAAAAAAGGAGTGTTGATGTAGTCAAGATAAAAAGTTCATTATAATCTTATGACAGTCCAGTTTAATGTAAGAGTTTTCATATTGGCAGTCAAAATTCAAAGAGAATAATAAATTATAATTAATAAGTTAAGAATTCTCCAAATTAGTCATTTAATTTCACTTAGAAATAATAATTAAATAATTAATCAATTGAAAATCATGTAAATTTAATAATGGTATACCCATGTCTATAGATTAATTTAATATAATAAAAAATAAAAATAGTAATCTACTCTATCAATTCCAACAAGTAATAATTATAATTTTAACTCAATATTATAAGAAGCGAGTTTATTTTAATAAAATTAAGAGTCTTTTCAATTAGATTCTAATAACAATCTCAAAGAGGAGTCTTCTAAATAAAGAAATTAAAATAATTGAATCCAAATATTACCAATAGATAATTAGATTGTAAACAAATTATTAGAGTATGATTAATGCAGATAATCTGAATAATAATATTAACGATCTGTATCATAGTAGGGTTTAAGTAAGATATTTGGATAAAATGAAATAAGCTATCATAAATCTAATTGAATAAATAACCAACAAATAATTCCTCATTAAATAGTTAACAAGTGCCAATTTTCACTTAAAATTAATTAAATACTTTGAAAAATAATAATTAATCAGTTTATCCTTGTGTAGCTTTAAGGATGAATGAAAATAATATTTAAAAGGTGAAATGTAACAACAATCATAATGCTCATGAGGAGATTAAACAAAATAAAGAAAATCAATAGCCAAGCAAAAACAATCTAGAAGTGACATTAAAATGATTATTGGAAAGTTATTATAAATGAAAAGAAAGTAACATGAAGATGTGGACAAAACTTCTTAATTTTCCAAATTTAATCGAATTTGAATTATTTATTTCTTCATTAATAAAATATTAATTAGAAAAATTATTAAAGATGGCTAGAGGATAAGAAGTTAAAGTCTTGCCTGAAGAGAAGGATGCATTAGAGAAAGTAAGGAAAGTAGTGTAGATGATGATTGCTAATGGGAGCATTGATTTTATAGTGATTTTAAAATTGATTCAATAGAAAAAGGTTTTCATTAATTAAATTGCAACCGAATTATATAAGTAACTTTTTTTTGATATATTAAAGTATAACTAAACAATATTTAAAAGAGAAAAACGTAGTCTAATTGATCTTCTTAATTGATTACATTTGCAAGAGTGATTTAAAAGATTTCAAAATAGCTATCAAATCCTACATAGTCAAACTATTCGTCAAAGTGTATCAGAATTAGAAGGAATTTGGATGTGATCTATTAAAATTGAAAACAGTATTTAAAAGCTGGGTATCCATTTCTTTTATAAATAGTTCCACATCTTTCCATTACCTACATTAATTGAAATAAGCAATAAAGTTCAATAAGAATTAAAAGAGGATTTGGACTTTTTGCCTAATGAAAAATTAGAAGAGCTTAAGAAGTTTTACAAAAGTCTAAATGTTAGTGGATATGAACCATTCTTAAATGTAATATAATTTAATAATCTCTTTAGGGAACCTACAAAAGACCAGCTGGAACTAAGAGACCAATGGAAGATTAGGTTGTTAAGAAGGTTAAACCAGAATAAAAATATTAATAAACTTAAAGAATTAATTTAGATGCTTAACAATAACAATAATAATAAAAATAAATTAATCAGCCATAAATACAATAAACCTAATAAAGCCATCAATAAGTTCATCCATATTAATAAACAATTCAAAATATTCAAAATTAAAATAATTAAACATTTGCTTCTTAATAATTTAGAAACCTCCAACCTTCCCAGATTATTACTTCTGCACCTTCAAATTCTCTGTCAACTAATTATCCATATTTAAACCCTTATTATTACAATTAGTTTCCTTAAATTCCTTAAGCTACAAATTTGAGTCACCCCCTCTCTCAACCTACACCTTAATAACAATAATAACCTCAACAATAGCGTCAACCTTAACAACCCTTAAATAAAAATAATATGCCATTTACTTAAATTAATTAATCATAAGCTTCATAATAAGGAAATATTCAATAGTAACAATAATAATAACAATAGTATTAATAGTAATAGTAATAGTAATAATAATAATAATAATAGCAACAATAGTAATAATAATAATAGTAATAATAATAATAATAATAATAATAATAATAATAATAATAGTAATAATAATAATTATCACTAAATAATTAAAAATAATTAAATATCCCAATAGATCCTAATTCAACTACGACAGTATTTGGTTCACTATTCTAGTATTTTTCAGAGTAACTATAAATTAAACATGACTTGATTAATAAAGAAGCAGTTAAAGATTTTCTAAAGTAATTGTATGAAATAATATGTGACTAGAAAATAAATTCCATCTTCAGAGTTGCTTTCAAATCCTAATCGTTATGGAACTTTAATAAAATGCCCAACTTGTTTTATGAGATTCAGAAACTAGAGTGCTTACATTTAACATTTGAATAATCATGCAAGTTATCAATTAGAAAAATTAAGAGAAGATTAGAAGAAAGAAGTTCAAATGAGTTGCTCTAGTGAAGTAATAATCTATTTTTTAATATAGGAATGGATGTCATCGACATAAACAATAAAGGAAAATAAAAATTAAGAAAAAAGTTATTCAATTGATCTAGATAAATTGAATAATCAAAACTGTGCATTTTGCTTAGAGAAATTTTAAGGTCGTTGGGATTCAAAAAATTGTAAATGGATTTATGAAAACGTCAGAAATTTCATTTTAGAATCAAATGATTTCGATGATCCTTAATTAATTTCGATACACTAAAAATGTAATGAAGTTTTGAATGAAATAAATGCTTGAATATTATTGTTTTATTTTAATAGAATGATTGTTTTATAATCATAGTTAATAATTAATTTATATTAATTCCATATATATATATAAGTTTATTTTCACTTATTGTCTGTATTTTATATTTGAGGTACAATATTCAAAATCTAAAGATCTGAAAATTCCAGAATTTGATTAACTTAATCAGAATTAACAAACTATGACAATTTAGATAAAGCTTTAATTAGTTTTTCATTTTAACTCTCTGCTAAAGAACTTTTACTCTAAAACTTTGAATCTTGACGAACTTTTTTTTTTGAATTTATTTAAGGTTTATTATCTGATATCATAATAGCTCTATAAGGTAAAAATACTTCAAAATTTGTATCATCACAAATTAAAGTATAAGATTCACCCTATTATTAATACTAGTTTTTATAATCAATTTCTATAAATTCTTAGAGTGAAGATGATGGAGTATCATCTTATGATCTAATTTCTGAGAATACATCTTCAGCCTCTTCTTCTTCAGAATCCAATTCATAGTCTATGAAGGAATACTTTAAAAATGGATTTCTTGGATTAATTGGTTTTACTTCTATTAGCTTTCCATTATAGAACCTATTAGAATCACACAATTCAAAATAAACTTTTCTTTTGGTTTATTGATGAGTTTTTTTTTTGCTTGTTTAGATTTTCTGTTCACATAAAGCTTATTGAAATGATTATGGAATATAACTTAACATTTCTGAATCAATTTATTCATTCATATAGAATATTTTTTCGAAATTATTTTATTGTAATAGATCCCATTTGTATTAAGAAGTTTCTTAATTATTTCTCTTGCTTGATTTCTTACATTTTATAACAAAAGACTTTATGAAGTTACTAGTTGGTTTTGAATTACTTTAAGGTTCTTAATTTTCATTAACAATTTCTTTAATTATTGACACTTTTTCTTATGAAGGTTATTCTTCCTTTATCATAGTTAATTAATTCTTTTATTATTATTATTCTGGAATAGATGTATTTTTAAGAATACTTTATATATTTACTAATGGATCATTTTTCTTTTATATTTCAGAATTTGTTAATTGATTATGAAACTTAACCGATTTTACACTTGATTTTGCAGATGATTCAGATAATTAATCACATTTATTTAATTAAACATTTGTTTCTGATTCTTCACATCTAATTTCTTCAGTAAAGGGTAATTCCATATTCTTTTTTAAATCTAAATATGATATAAATGCCTCTTCAATAGAATCAATATCTTATGATTCCAAAGAATCAATAATATATTTTATAGATCTTATAATATCAAAGATTTATAATCTAAGTTTCCTCACTTTTTAAAAAATTTCAACATTTCCATGATCCTTTAAATCCTCTATATTTTTCATTTCATAATAGCCTCTTATATCCGTAGATGTGAATTTAATATTTTCACTATTATTGAACACTTTCTATATATCTAAGAGATTTAAGAATTTTTAGTAATTGAAGTCTTATCCAAAAGTGACTTCATCTAAATTAATCCCTGAAATTTTTTTCAATTAAACTGGTTCTACAGATTCCTTAATCAATCCTAACATCTCTTCTAATTCAAATCTCGCATAGTTCTACAGAGTTTCGTTTAAGAAGTACTTACAAGAATGAGCTAATTTGCAACGATGGTATGAAATAGGCTAACCCTCCAATTTCAATGAAATCAGTCTCTGAAGATACTGAACATTAAATTAACTCTTTTCTATTCTTTTAATCAATTCCTAATTGGGCTAGAATTGCAACATAGGTAAACCCATTTTGGTTAGTTGTTTAAAAATATTTTTATAAAAAGGTAATCTTGCTTAAAGAGCTTCTAAAACTTCTTTATCATTATTATCTAAATCAATGTTCTAAGAATATTTAGAACATTTTGAATTTTTCTAAGCAGTTGAAGACTTTTTTTTTTAATGCTTTTTTTGTGACATATTTATAAAATTTTGTTATATAAAAAAATTAATTGTTTAAATTCAAAAAGTTTTTATCAGAATCTATTCAATCTCTTATATTGACATATTCTAATAGGATTTATATAAAATTGGTTGTTAAAATATAAGTCTTATATGATTAATCAATTTCTTTTAATCTTAAAATGAGATCTATTTTTAAATTTGAATTAGATTAAAATCTTGTAAATAGTCATTTTTAATATATTTATATCTAATTTTTTTTATTATTCTTTATATTAGTATTGAAATAAGTGGAATATGATTGAATTTTTAAATGAAATGGAATTTATTTAATATTTTAAGTATTGCTCATTTAAATTATATGATATGTATAATATATGTAATTTAGAGATTTATTTAATTTTAATATTATACCCATTCCTTTTTGATTTTATAAAACTACTGATATATGAATTAAAAAGTTTTTCATATAATTTTCTGGATAAATAGTTGATTGTATAGAATTGGAATATTCATTTTTTGTATGTAATAAATTGACAATTTCTACTATAATTGAATAACCTCTCATTTATTAGTATTGATATTAAAGGTTCAATAATATTTATTGAAGTTATTCACAAATGACTTTGAGTAGATTAGAAATGTTAGTTGGAATTCGTTATTTGAATCTAATCAATTCTATTTGGGTTTTATTGGAAGTGTATATTTTCCACTTTTAAGTAATAAGATTGCTTGATTCATTCAAATATTAATTGATATCATAGAATACTTTTTATCCTCACTTTGTAATATTCTCTAATCAAGTTAGCCTTTAATTGACAATATAATAAGATTTTAGATGATTGATAGATTGTCAACTTTAGAGTATTTGGATGTTAATTATTAATGATATCATTGAGCTTATCAAG